CCAGAATCAGAACAGATCTACACCATGGAATTTAACAGTGAAAATTCCAGAAATTCAACCCAAGATCAGAAAATTAAAAGCTGTTAAAGGATCAAATCACCTAGAAAGGGAAGCCCATCAGAATCACAGCAGACTTCTCAACACAGACCCTCTCATGTCAAGGAGAATTTGGAGTGAAGCAGTTCAAGCCCTAAAACAACCTCCAGCCTACACTGATGTACCTCAAAAAACTGTCTTTCAAGATGTAGGGATATGGGGCTGGGGATTTAGCTTAGTGGCATAAGCACCTGCCTTGCAAGCAGGCTGTTGTGAGTTCGATCCCTGGTACCAATGAAAAGGAAAAAGACAAAAAAAAAAAAAAAAAAAACAAATGTAGGGATAAAATACTTCCATGATAACACCTGAAGAAATTCATGACCAGTAAACCAGCACTCTAAAGTGTTCTGAAGGACACCCTTGAAAGAGAAAATGAAGACCATAACCCCAGGAATCCCAACAGAATGAATCCACCAGGTGAGGCAAGCAGTTAAACAGAGGAGAAAATACCATGACAAGGGTAAGTCAGTATATAGAAGTTATAACCATCTATGATAATGACTTCAATTTGCCAATCAAAAGAAACAGACTGGCAGAATGGATCAAAAAGCAACATCCAATGTTGTGCTGCAAACAAGAAACAAACTTAATTCAGGAAGAAATTCATAGACTAAAAGTCAGAATAGAAAACGTTCTTCCATTTGACCAGAAAGCAGAAAAACGGCAGAGGTAACTATTCTATTTGCAGACAAAGTAGATTTTAAGCCAAGACTGATAAAGAGAGACAGAGTCATTATATCTTTGTAAAAGAAGCAATCTAAGAGGACAAAATAACAACCATGAATATATATGTTCCAGATACTAGCACACTTAACTGTATAAAGCAAATACTAACAGACATGAAAAATAAATAAGCACTAATACAGTTGTAATAGGGGACCTCAATACCCTACTGTATAGAACAACTAGACAAAAAAATCAAAGATCAGAACTGAATCCAAAAAAAAAAAGAAGAAACCTTTGTAGGAGCCTATTTTGGTATTTAATTTAAATCCTGGCAGCACCATTTGTAATAGTTAATATTGGCTATTGATTGCCTAGTTCCGAAATCCAGGCCCTTAACCTCCCTGCTTGGTTAGCCGTTACAATTACACAGGAGGTGACTTCAGTGTCAGACCTGAAGGTGTCATTTGGTCATACCATAGGCCACAGCATCCCTCAGTTGTGGTCTGTTTTTGTTTTTATCATAATGAGGATTGAGCCAGGACTTTGCAGGCATTTTACCACTGAGCACCATCCCACCCTTTTATTTTATTCTGAGACAGGGTTTCACTGAGCTGCCCAGAATGGCCTCCAATTTGAGATCCTCTGCCTTAGCTTGTGAGTCACTGGGATCATAGGTGTGCGCTGCTATACCTGCTTGTTCATTTGTTTTATTCCTTTGTTTGTTTTGTTTTGGTACCAGCGATCAAACTCATGACCCTGCATATGCCATGCAGTCGCTTGTGCTGCTGAACTAAATCCCTGACCCCTTTATTTTATTCCTAAATAGGTTTTTGAATGCCTCCGTGTGTCAGAGCTTGTTGAAAGGAATTGCTGGGTTACTCTTTTTTTTTTTTTAATCTCATTTTAACATATCTAAGAGTTGTTCTTGTGTTATGCTCAGAGCTCTGAACATGTCTGAGTTTGTCTGTGACCCGTCAGCCCAGCCTTACGTGTACGACCTCATTGCCGTGTCTAATCACTATGGAGCCATGGGAGTTGGCCACTGTGAGTATTGACATCTGCTTCGGTTGATGGTATTAAAATGCCCTTGCCAGCCCTCTTTCCCCAGACACTGTGCTGTGCACCTCACTTGCAGTTTCACAGGCCCAGGATTTGGACTTTTTAGTACTGCTGCCCTGCCCATTCTTAAAAATTCTGTTTTATGTACTTCTTTGTTTTGTTTGAAACTGGGGCCAGGGATGTAGCTGGCAGCACAAGTGCCTGCCTGGCAAGCTCAAGGTGCTGAGTTTGATTCCTGGTAGTTCCTACTCCGAAAAAAAAGTAAAGAAACAGGGTCTCTGTATAGTTCAGAATGGCTTTGGGTTTACGGCGTAGCTCAGACCGGCCTTGAATATACAGTCCTCCCTCAGCCTCATGAGTGGCTAGGATGACAGTGTGCTGGCCTTGACCCTCTGTTCTTACTGAGTAACCTCCTGGCTCTAGAACCCTCATGTTTGGATTCTGTGCCATCCAAAGGGAAAAAGGCAGCCTTTAAGAGTCCACCTGGCCTCCTCCACATACTCTGCACTGGTTACGATCGGCCCGTTGGTCACACAGCACTATAGGAGGGGCTGGGAAGACAAGTGTGCCTGTGTGAGAGCCGGGCCCTGCCAGAGTGACTGGTAGTGATTTTTTTTATCAGGCCATGTCTACAGTGGCTACTGTACCTTGCTTTTTTCTCTCAGAAGTAACTTTGATGTCTACTAACATTCACATATTCTGGTCAAAAGTGTTTTTCTAGCTGTGTTTTGACTCATAAGCCTTAATTTTCTCACCCAGGAGATGAGGCTCATGGGGACCCCCTGGATGAACTCCCCAAGGCTGAATTTCCCCAAGCTACATTTCTGCTGTTTGTCAGGAGTGGTGCTGCCAGGCTTAGTTCTTCTCTGGTGGTCTCCTCCCACTCTGTGAAGGCAGTGGGATGCTGGGGAGACTGAGGCAGAAGCACTAAACAGCTGCCCTTAGTCATTCTGGCTGTTGTGGCTGGAGACCACATATCCCTTAGGTTCTGTAGTGTTTCATATTGGGTGTAGGATCACCTGGGTCTGCCTGTTGGGATTGTTACAAACACCTATTGCTTGCACGTAGAATGAAGACCGTGGGAAGACTTGGACCTGCATGAGAAATTATGACCTAACCACAGACCTGGCTCACACAGTTTTAGGGGGAGAAGTTCAGCCCACCTGTTCCAATCCCAGCTCTACAAACCAGGTGTCCATTGCGATTACCCTTCAGGCTCCAGAGGCCGTGTGCTTCCTGCTGAACATAGCAGCCCTCTGCCTGGACAGGTTGTGGAGATCACCCTGGACTGTTGGTTTAAGAGCTGTAGTCTTGGTCAAATATTAGCTCCATTTATGAGTCTCCTGGCTCTGGATTACTACCTCTAGCCTTAAAATTGATTGATACTAGATACACTCTTTTGGATTAGTTTTCCAAAATTATAGTTCAAACCTTGAGCTGTTATTATAGGGTGCTGTATAATGTCAGTGTTCAAGGAGCTGAGGCAAGAGGATCACAAGTTTGAACTTAGCCTGGGCATAGTGAGACCTCATTTAAAAAAATAAAAAAAGCTAGGCACAGTGGTGCATACCTATAATCCACCACTCAGGAGGCTGAGACAGGAGAATCACTGAGTTTGAGACCTTGGTCATTAGGACATAAATTGCAAATCATTTTTACTGTGTGTGTGTGCGTGTGTGTGTGCGTGTGCGTGTGTGTGTGTGTGTGTGTGTGTGTGTGTGTGTAATACAAGTCTGATAAAGTAGCTGGATTAATTCCCCACAATTGGGGATGTTTCTGTATTATTTGGCAGACACTGCATATGCAAAGAACAAATTCAGTGGTAAATGGTATTACTTTGATGATAGCAACGTATCCCTGGCCTCTGAGGACCAGATTGTGGTGAGTGTGCAGCTCTACATTGGCCCTTCCTTCTCCTGGGTGGGGCAAAGCCCAGCCAGTCCAAAGGTGGGTGGAACTGCAGATGTGGCGTGAGGTGCTGCCTCTCCTGAGACCCTTCCCAAGGGAGAAGCACTGCTTTTCTCCAGGTTCTGTGGCACACAGCACCTGCCTTTCCCCACCAGAGGCAGCAGTGCCCAGCCTCAGGTGGCAGGGCCTTCCTGGTCACCTCCAGTGTGCAGGGTCAAGGTGGCTGATCTCTGGAAGTGTTAAACAGGGAAAGGAAGGCAAGGGAAAATGAGCCATTTTTTAAACCAGCAAATGGACTTTTCTCCTCCGTGTTCTAGACAAAAGCTGCTTATGTGCTGTTTTACCAGCGTCGGGATGAGGACTGTTGCAAGGAGCCTCCACTCACTGGCTTCCCTGGTTCCTGTGACAGTGAGATGAGGCCAGGCAGCTCGAAGCAGGGCTTGGGGGATGATGACACTTGCAGCATGGACACCAACTGATGTGACTCAGAGGCCCTGCTACTCTGCAGCACCATTGCCACCTTGAGAAGCCACTGAATATCAAAACCACAGGAGAAAATTCCCTTCCTTTGTGTGAAGAGAAAAAGGCCCCATTTGCTCAGAGAGTTATGTCAAGGTCGACTGTGCTTTTTAAGCAGGTGGTTCGAGAAGCCTGTGGACCTGAGCCGTGGCATAGGGCACAGTGGAGCCACCAGCCAGAGGCAAGGGAAGGGTGGACGCTGGAGCAGGACTCAGCAGGGCCTGTGCTACTGTTGCCCATCCTGGTCACCTTAGTAGTTGGGCATAGTAAACCAAGCCTCGTGTAAACTTAATGTTGTCCCTTGTCCTTTGCTGTTCATTGACATGGATTTATAATTTTATAAAAATTAGGTACTGAAGCTCTTTGTTTCTGTATTCAGCCCTCAAAATTTCTGCATTCCTGCACCTAGTGAACTGGGGTGCCCTGGTCCTGGACCTCTGGAGGTGGTGCTGTTCTGTCCCCTCCCCTTGATAAACTGACTCTGTGTCACTTTTATTAGAAATCCCTTTAAAAAGCATTGGGTAGAGGTGCTGAGCGCGTGGTCTGGCCAGTTCCGGCCCAGTTCTTCTCTGGTCCAGTTCTGCTCGGGATTGGCATTGTCACCTGAATTTCTGAGACTAACTGCCACCCCTCCCCCCTCCGCTGCTGGCTGACCTTTGACCTGGCCCAAGGGGCGGGGCTGGGACGACAGTGACAGTTGGGCTGTGACGGTGAGGAGCAGGTGCAGGGCGGGGTGGAGATCAGGTGGGTGGGCTTTGGGGCCGGGGCTGGGGGTGTTGCTGGTGGGCAGCCCCACTGTCCTGGGGGTCTGGGGGAACAAAGACTGCATGGGCTGTCCCCGAGGAGCAAGCAGGCTCAGGGTGTCGCGGCTACGCCTCGGTGACCTCTTGGGCTCGCTGCTTCACGTGGTTCCAGTATGTTCCATAAGGAGACCATGGTCGCTTTTAGGGAAATGTCCGAAAAACTAAGAAGATGCAGAAAGGAGCTGACAGCGGCTATTGACCGCGCCCTCGAAGGGGTCAGGCGTTCCCAGGAGCCCGGCCTGGCCACCGGCACCCAGGCTGTGCGCGGGGCACCCCATGGGGGTCGAGAGAGCCCGGACCACGTGCTGCCCTGTGGCCCGGGGAACACCAAGCCGCAACCTGTGTGGCCTCGGAGGAAACCCCTGAGCAGCAGGGAGAATGTGCTGCTGCACCCCTCCGTCTGGAGAGCCGCAGGAGACGCGGAGAACTGGAGGGAGAAAAGCTTCAGGTGACGCCTGCTTTGTCGTGCCCTAGCCACAGCCGCCCTGAGGGAGGTTCTTGTTCCTGGAAAGCTGTGGAGGGGAGCAGCCAGACTTAGGGAGGGCCGCACATTCCTCAGAGCCAGGCCCAAAGCAGCTCTGATTCCTTTACTGGAACCACCGTACAGAGCGAGTTTTGACCTGACTTTTAAGAAAAGCCTTATTTTTACGCTACAAAAACAAAAATGTGGGCTGGGGATTTAGCTCAGTGGCATAAGCGCCTGCCTTGCAAACGCGCAGTCATGGTTCAATCCCTGGTACAAAAAAAAAAAAATGTTAGTTTTGTCTTAACTATTGTGCTTGAACTGGAGCTTTAAGTACCTTCTTTTGCCGCACTTTGATTCCGCCTCCTCTGCACCCTCCTCTGCCCCCAAACCTTTTCCACAGCTCTACATTACCTGCCTCCCCTCCTCCCCCAGCCACTTCAAACAGTCTGGGCCCAGGTACCTTGATTTAGCCCAAGGACAACCATGCTGGATGTCATTTCAGTCCCCCATCATGCTTCCCTATGAAAGGAGCAATTTAACCATGAGTATGCACATTGGTATTGTAAGGGAGGCACCACCTGTGGTGCTGTGAGTCATGATAATCTGTTAGTTTCTTAACTGATTTTAGCAACTTTTCATTTCTCTCTAATCACAAAATACATGACAGCTTAAAACCATTGGTTAATTTATATCTTTTAGATTATCTAATATTGAGTTCACAGTATTTTTCTTGAAAGGAGATCTAATTCCCCACCTTGCCCCCTCCCCCACTTGGGGGCTGCAGGAAAGATGCAGAGGGAGATGTTAAAGCTGACTCAAACTTGCTACTCAGCAGTTCCAGCCAAGAAGTCACCAAGGACCTGCTTGATATGATCGGTGAGTGAGGAGACCCCAGCCATTCTCTTCTTGGGCCAATAGGTCCTCCATAGAGGCCCAGAGTCACCATAAGACTTGGGTGAGAAACAAAGAACACTCATTTATCATCTGTTTATTTTGCTCACAGCTGATTCTGTTCAGAGGGCAGTGAGTTAATCAAATCCTGTCCCTGCCTTTATAGAACTGGTGACCTAGAGAAGTCCCACATAGATCAGGCCATTTCATTAATGTCTGGTTCTGGTGAGTCCCAGAAGGCAAGGAAGTTAGATCTGAAGGCAGCAGGACACAGGCAAAGAAGAGGAGAGAGGCGTCCAGCTGTGGTGGGTACTGTGAGCATAAGTGCAGCTGAGGTCTCAGTACTCTTCTATTACCCACCCCCAGAGCAGCCACCTGCGCTGCTCTGCTTCAGCCTACACCCAGTTGGAGCTGTGTGGTGTGGGAGCCCTGGTAGGTGAGGAATGCAGAGCCCTGGGTGCTGCCTGAAGCTGTTGGCTCTGAAGGGTCTCCAGGTTATGAAAGATGAAAAAGGAGGCTTGGTGAGGCAAGTAACTCACCTTAAGCCATAAGACCTCTGCTGGCCTGCACTTGCAGTGGGGCTAGTCCCCTCCAGAAGCCACGGGAGGGCTGAGCCATCACTGCCTTATTCACCATCTCCTCAGCCTCACCAGCCCTGTCAATGTCTTGATTACCCTAAGAATCCTGGGGTTTGTATGTCATTCCTGCACGTGAGGGAGATCCCCAAGAAGCAGGACAGGCTGTTTCCCCCCCACTCACCTTTCTTGGGCACAAGCAGGTGGTTGGAGCTGGATAAATGGCAGGGTCAGAAAGGAGGGTACCAAGTCTGTCCTGGTGCAAGACTGCCCTCTCCACGCTGTCTGCAGAGAGTGACTGTCCATTCATGGTGTTTTTTTGGTTTTTTAAATGGGGTCTAACTAGTTCAGGCTGGCTTTGATCTCACTATGTAGCCCAGGCTGGCCTTGAACTTGTGGCAATCCTCTTGCCTCTGCCTCCCAAGTGCTAGGACTACAAATGTGTCTTCCATTCATGTTTTTGTTTGTTTGTTTGTTTGTTTGTTTTGGGGTTTTTTGGTTGGTTCTTCCCATTCATGTCTGCTGTGCTTTTAGAAACTGCTCACTGTAACTACAAAGCCTCATGTTCTTATTTTTAAGACCACACAAGTATCCGAACTATTGAAGAATTGGCTGGAAAACTAGAATTTGAAAACGAATTGAACCGCGTGTGTGGTCACTGCCAAGATTCACCCTTCCAGGAGGAAGCATGGGCCCTGCTTCTGGATGAGAGCCCTCTGAAGGTCTCAGATGGTGACCCCGGCAGCCTCAAGCAGGCTTTTGATGATCAGAGTATCATCGAGACTGTTCTGGACTTGGAAGAAGACTACAACTTAATGACCTATTTCAAGTACCAAGCTGAGTAAGGAGAGTCTAGTTCAGCTTTGCTTCTTTACAGCAGGAGGCTGCCTACATGGAGCCTGTGCAGAGGCAGCCACAGTGGTCACCCAAGGCCGTGCTTGTCCCAGGGCTGCAACTCCAGTCACCAAGCCCCTTTTTACTTTGTTACTTGTGTTCTTTCAGCTGAGAGCCCAATCTTTGTATTCTGTTGCTTTGAAATGTTTCTTACTGATTTTTTTGACTTTTGAAAGTTTCTTTTTGATTGATGTTCAATATAGCCAATACCCACACCCAGGCAGGTGTGAGTTGTACCTCTACTGAGTCTTGATGTTGTTTCTTAAGGGCCCTGAAAACATGCAGGAGCTGGAAGCAGATGAGCTCTGTGCCCTCCAGTCCACCCATCCAGACTGGCTCATCTGGCACAGAACCAGGATTGAGCTGGATCTGAGCTAGGCCTTCTGCTGCTACAACACACAGCTCTGCTTGCCTGGGGGCTCCCTGTCCCTTGCTATGCCCATGTCATCCTTATATCCAGTCCTACCTTGTTAGTCCCCACCAGTCCTTCCTACCTTGGAGACTTCTGCAGAGGCCCCTGGTGCCTGCAATAGGACACCTGCCACACATCCCTACACAGACACTGCCCTGGCTGAGGGAAAGGAGAGGAAGAGTATGGGTCTCCTGGTCTCCTTCACACCTGGACTTCATCCATCCCATTGCAGGTCTCAGGTGGTTCCCATGGCAGTGGCCTTACTGGGTAAGACAGGGTAAGTGATGAAGGACGGGCCAAGCCACTGCCTCAGACCATGAACATAGCAGTAGGAACATAACATCCCCACCCTTGGAAAGAAAGGACATCACCAAAACTTCATGTGGAAAAATTACTTTTTGGTAGTGGGGATTGAACCCAAGGACCTTCTCACTGGGTTAAATCACCATTTTAAAAAAATGGGTTAAATCACCATTTTAAAAAAATGTTCTCGAGATCATGTCTTGATAAATTGCTTAGCTGCCCAGCCTGGGCTTGAATTTGTAATCCTCCTGCCTCAGCCTCCCAAGTGCTAGGATTACAGGTGTGCGGCCACCACACTGGGCTTCCACCTTGAGCTACTAAAGGAGGATGGGTGTGAGGAGGCTGGCACAGGGCTGTTCGTAATGTATATTTGAACAACCTGAAGGTGAGGAAAAGGCCAGTAGCTGAGTGACTGCCCACTGGGCCATCTTCAAGGCAGACTCAAGACCTCTTCACCCAGCCTGGTGACCCCTCTGGGCATGAAGGCAGAACCATGTGCTCCCTTGCATAGCCCCACCTAGCTCCTGAGCCTGGCCTCTGTGCCTTTGGCCTCCTTGCTGGGTGTTAGCTTAGTTCTGGCCCTGGTGTGGACATTGGCATTAGCTTGCATGGGAGGATAAAGCAGAGCTACCCAGAAGTTACTCAGTCCCTGGAGGAAGTGAGGCCAGGCTCTCGATGCTCTGGCCATACTGACCTTGTCCTGCTTGGTAAGGAATGGATGGGCTGGATGGAGTGGGCCAGGTTTGATAGTACGTGCCAGGAATCTCAGCACGTGGGAGGTTGAGGCAGGAAAGTCACTATAAATTTGAGGCCGAGGATCAGGGATTTAGCTCAGCGGCATAAGTGCCTGCCTGGCAAGCATGAGGTCATGAGTTCGATCCCTGGTACCAAAAAATAAATAAATTTGAGGCCAGCCTGAGTTCCCTAATGAGACTCTGTCTTGAACCTCAAACTGCCACGTTCGTAATACCCTATCTGGAGTCTGTCTGTCTCTGTCTCTCAATAAAACTGACACACTGAATACATCTCCAGACCTTTCCTCTTTCATTTTTCTTTTGTTTGAGACAAGGTTTCACCATGTAGTTCAGGCTGGCTCTGAACTCACCATGAGGCCCAGGCTGGCCTTGAACTCCCTGCATAAGTGTGCCCCACCACACTCAGTTACTGTTCTCTATTTTGATACAGGATCTCACTAAGTTGCCAGACTAGGCTCAAATTTTGTATCCTGCCTCAGCATCCAGAGTCCCTGGGATTACAGGTGTATCCCCTGTGCTGGGCACTCAGAGGCAAGGAGCTTGAGTCCTGCTCCTTCCTGTGTTGCCATCACATAAGGGTCAGCTAGATTGACACTTCCACCAATGATGTCATGTGGATATCATCCTGAGGATGTGATGGGGGCACCACCTGTGGTCTTCTAACCAAAACCTATGTCCTACCTGGTCCCATTTGGTAATCCAGACACAGATGGTGGACCAGCTTAGATTGGAGATATTCAAGACATCAAGATAAGCTGGATGTGGTGGTACATGCCTATAATTCCAGCACTCAGGAGGCCGAGGCAGGAGGATCTCTGAGTTTGAGACCAGTCTAGGCTACAAAGTGAGCTCAAGGCCAGCCCGAGCAACACGTTAAAACTCTTGTCTCAAAAACAGAACAAAAAAATAGAAATCGAAGTAATGAAAACAAAGACTCTAAAAGTCACAGACCAGCAAGAACTGAGGGGACACATTGACTAAGGAAGTGTGAAAGCTTGGACTACATCCTAGAACAGAAAGAAAATGGTATGGAAAAACATGAAATCCAAATGAAGACTAGAGTTAGTGTTTTGATGTTCACTTCACCAGGTAAACAGTTAAGATGTTAACACTGGCACAGCTGGGTGAAGAGTATATATGAGCTCATTATCTTTGCAATTCTGTAAATCTATAATTATTTTTGTTGTTGTTGTTGTTGTTTTGTCTTTTTCTTTTTTATCGGTACCGGGGATCGAACTCACGACTGCCTGCTTGCAAGTCAGGTGCTTATGCCACTGAGCTAAATCCTCAGCCCCAAATCTATAATTATTTTAAAATTTAATAGCTGGATATAGTGGCACACACCTGTAATCCCAGCACCTCGGAGGCTGAGACAGGATTGTCAAGAGTGCAAGGCCAGTCTGTACTACATAGTGAGACCCTAATTTGGAAAAAAAAAAACCAAAAAAATTAAAATGTGTTTATTTTATTTATTTGTTTTAGTGGTGCTGGAGGTTGAACCCAGGACCTTGCACATGCTAGGCAAGGACTACACTGATTTGCTATAGCCCTAACCCCTTTTAATTAATTAATTAATTAATTATTTTTGCAGTACTGGGGATCGAACTCACAACCTCACGCTTGCCAGGCAGGCACTTATGCCACTGAGCTAAATCCCTGGCCCGACCCCTTTTAATTTAAAAAGTATAATTGATTCCAAGTTTGTAAAAATGGATATGAGCAAAAGACTCGCTTGTAACCCCAGTACTTAGTAGGCTGAGGCAGGAAGATCACAAATTCAAGGCCAGCCTTGCTGCACCATGAAACGGTGGCTTAACATTTTTAAAAAGTGAAGACTCTTGAACACTGCACCAAGAAAGAGGCGAGGCTTAGGCCTTAAACCAGGTAAAACAGTGTGTGGGGGAGCGGAGAAGACTAGAGAGATTTCAGAGTCAGATCACACAGCTCAGCCTCAAAAGAAGGGAACTGCTTCACATCCCCCACCTTGGATGACAGCTCCCTGCTTCACGTGTCTCAGGGCCATTGGGCTGGCTTTGGCGAGCTCAGTAGCCACCACCGCCGCCCTTCTGCAGCAGTTCCAGAACCAGTCTGTCATCTAAAGCCCAGCCAGAAGCTCAGCTGACTGAAGAGGAACCAATTAGCGTAGCTCAGAGAGCAGGCTTTGCACAGCCCTGCGTAAAGGAGTTTATGACTGGAACAGATGGGCCAGAAAAAAGATTTGAAGTGTATGATCTGCATGTTGGACTTTGTCTAGGAAGACCCCATTCTGATTTCTGCCGCGCATGCCCATCTGTCAGCTGGATTGTAGCTGATTGATGAGGTCCTTCGGGGCTCTCCTACATGCAGCCGGTGGATGCAACACTGCTTCCATCCTGTGAGACTAAGCCAAGGTCTCTCCTCTGACCAGTGAGCCATCATTTCTGGTGGTTTTGATCTTTTGTTACTGAGACCAAAGAGCCAGCGATTAGGGATTAAGATCATGCACAAAAGTTTCCTTAAAATCCCTGGATGGCTGCAGATGTTGAGAAAAGTATTCTAGAAACTTGGAAAAAAATAGGATGATATTTTTATGTAAATATTTTAGAAAATATTTACATATTGATGGGGGGGGAATAGGATGTTTTTTATGTAAAGTCTTGACCCAGTGTTTAAAAAGGTAATTGTAGAGCCAGGGATTTAGCTCAGTGGCACAAGTGCTTTCCTGGCAAGTTCAAGGTCGCAAGTTCCATCCCTGGTACTGCAAAAAAAAAAAAAAAAAAAAGTAATTGTATAATTGTGTAAAGTGTTATAGCAGCTATTCATGTATAAATTGTGTATGTTAGATTAGGGGAGAAAAATAGTGGTTATTTTTCTAAGTGAAATAACTTTCTTTTTCTCTCCACCTAGATTTTCTTCTGAAGTTACTGGCATTGGGATCAAGGTTTTATTAAAAGTTACATTTTATAACACTGGCACTGAAAGGGTTTTGGCCCAGATAGGACACTGTAGCCAGGAAAGCCACAACCAGAAGCAGGAAGCCCCATCTCCCCTGGCCCTAGGAAGTTACCTGTGACGCCATCTTCCTGCCCGTGGAAATTTACATATGGCGCCAAACCTAGGACCAATGGGCTACCTGTGCATCCCTAATGCCCGCCTTAGGTTCCACCCCAAACCGAGGCTATTTACATGCCCCCACGCCCCACGTGTCCGCCGGAGATACACCAGCGGTGGGGGTGCCTGTCATCTCTCTCCGAGTTCTCAGAATAAAGGCCGCTTTTTATTTTATATTTCTCATCTTTTGTTAATATTTTTCATCTTTTGGAAATAACCCTAGCAGGCACCAAAAGGTAGTTTAAGCTTGTTTGCACAGTTTTTTTTTTTTCCATTGTAAACAGAATTTATTGCATAGGTCTCTATTAAAATAGTGTAGTAGTATTGGGACTGGCTCTGTGCTTGAAAAAGTTTATTTATACCCTGTTTTAAGTGCTATATTGTTTGCAGTTAGAAAATTCAGAATTCGCTGGGCGTGGTGGCTCACGCCTGTAATCCCAGCACTCGGGAGGCTGAGGCAAGAGGATCATTGTGAGTTCGAGACCAGCCTAGGCTACAAAGTGAGCTCAAGGCCGGCCTGAACTGCATAGAGAGACCCTGTCTCAAACAAACAAAAAAAATTTAAATAAAAAAAAGAAAATTCAGAATTCAAAGTGATCTCCTGCCTTGTAAGCAAACTAAGATGCACTACCTCTTTCCTATAAAAAAAGAGCTAATGTGTCAAGAAACCAACTCCAGCCCA